AGGCCAGGTGTCGTGGCTGACACCTGTAATCCCAAAACTTTGGGAGGCTGAGGCAGGTGGATCACTTGAGGTCAGGAGTTCGAGACCAGTCTGGCCAACACAGCGAAACCCCATCTCTACTAAAAATACAACAATTAGCCAGGTGTGGTGGTGGGCATCTGTAATCCTGGCAACTCGGGAGGCTGAGGCAGGAGAATCACTTGAACCTGGGAGGTGAAGGTTGCAGTGAGCCAAGGTCATGCCACTGCACTCCAGCCTGGGAGACAGAGTGAAACTTGATCATGCTGCTGTCTTTCAGCCTCGGAGATAGAGAAAAAAAAAAAAAAATTCTAAGCAGGGCATGGTGGCTCACGCTTGTAATCCCAGCACTTTGGGAGGCAGAGACAGGCAGATCACAAGGTCAGGAGTTTGAGACCAGCCTGACCAACTTGTGAAACCCTGTCTCTATTGAAAATACAAAAAAATTAGTCGGGTGTGGTGGCACGTGCCTGTAATCCCAATTACTCAGGAGGCTGAGGCAGGAGAATTGCTTGAATCCGGGAGGCGGAGGTTGCAGTGAGCCAAGATTGCGCCACTGCACTCCAGCCTGGGTGTCAGAGTGAGACTCCGTCTCAAAAAAAAAAATTCTGCTGATAAAAAAGTAAGAGCAAAAAGGAATAAAAAGTTCTGTGAAGATTAAAGAGAAATAGAAATCACACCTACTTGTGGAGGGGAAGTATTGGGAATCAGCATATGCAACTCCTTTTGAAAAGGGCTTTGAAGGATAGCAAGGATTTTAACAGGAAGAAACTGGGGATAGGGAAGAAAATAGAGGGCAGGGAAAAGAAGGGAAGGTATACTGGAGGAAGAAACAAGCTGAACATGGCATAAAAGTTGGAAAGTGCACAGTAAGCACAGGGAGTATATAGTAGTCCAGCTCAGCTGGAACCTGCAGTAGAAATAAGGGAATAGAGTGAGATAAGCTTGGCAAGGTAAGTTACAACTAGACTTTTTGGAAGGTACTTTAGATATTATAAATACACTGCTACTTACTTCAAAGGTTTATCATCTTGAGAGGTAAGTGTTTTTGGAGCCTCTGGGCCAATTAAATCTGAAGGTTCTTCAGTCTCTGCATGAAAGATATTAAGAAACACATTCACATTTGACTAATTGGTTACTTTAATGTTTCATCTGTTTTGAGTTAAAGTCTACCAGAAGAACCTACTTGTTCGATCCTTCCAGGGATTCTCCAGAAACTCTTCTTGGGATTCTTTAGAGCTTGAATCACTGGACTCTTTTCTGCTCTTCTTAGACTTCTTTTTCTTATATTTCTTCCTATAGGGATTATAATTTGATACAAATTCACTTTATCCTCCTATGTTAGAGGGCATCTTAATTTTTCTCATTTTGCTTTTTAAATTTTGAATTGGTGACTATACATCTTAATTTTTCAAGGCAAAGAAAGGTGACAATAAAATGATCTGAATTCCCAGCTTATTCAAACTTGCTAGATAATTTTACTTAAAAAAAATCTTCTAACTTACCCTGGGAAACATAGTAAGACCATGTCTCTACAAAAATTAAAAAAAAAAAATTAGCTGGATGTGGTAGCACACACCTGTAGTCCAATCTACTCAGGAGGCTGAGGTGGGAGGGTCACTTGAGCCCAGGAGTTCGAGATTGCAATAAGCTATGATTGGCCCACTGCACTCCAGCCTGAGCAACAGAGTGAGACACTGTCTCTAAACAATTTGTTTCTAAAATTCTAACTTATTTAACTAAATCATCTTTTGCTATAAAAATTATTACTAGGCCATGTGCAGTGGCTCACGCCTGTAATCCCAGCACTTTGGGAGGCTGAGGTGGGCAGATCACAAGGTCAAGAGATCTAGACCATCCTGGCCAACATGGTAAAACCTCATCTCTATTAAAAATACAAAAATTAGCTGGACATGGTGGCGGGCACCTGTAGTCCCAGCTACTCAGGAGGCTGAGTCAGAAGAATCACTTGAACCTGGGAGGCGAGGTTGCAGTGAGCAGAGATTGCACCACTGCACTCCAGCCTGGCGACAGAGCGAGACTGCATCTTAAAAAGGGCAACAAAAAAATTATCACTAAAGGAGGCTGGGTAAGGTGTTTCACCCCTGTAATCCCAGCACTTTGGGTGGCTGAGGCGGGTGGGTCACTTGAGCCCAGGAGTTAGAAACTAGCCTGGGCAACATAACGAAATCCTGTCTCTACAAAAAATACAAAAATTAGCCAGGTGGGGTGGCACACACCAATAGTCCCAGGTATGGGGGAGGTGGGAGCAGAGGTGGGAGGATGGCTTGATCCTGGAAGGTCCAAGTTGTAGTGAGCTATGATCCTGCCACTGCACTCCAGCCTGGGTGACAGGGTGAGACACTGTCTCAAAAAAAAGAAAAAAAAATCACTAAAGGGAACAAGGAAATACAGTTCTCATGTTGTAGAAAGCAGAAATAAACCAGCCTAAAATGTCTCAACAATTTGAGTATTACAAATAATTTTATGTGTAATGAATTAAAATATGTCAAATATGTTTAAATCCGTGGGTTCATAATGATACTTTAAAAAAATCCGATTCATTATTTGAAAAGTCATAAAACAAACAAAATTATCCTGCTCTTACTATATAAACTATATTTCAGGGTATTTAAATAGTTGATGAGGGTAAGTTTCTCTTATAGAATTATTCTGCCTAATAAATGAAGGATAAAGCCAGGATTAGACTATCACCATTTTACAACCCCTAATGAAATAATGGATCGAGATAATGACCTTCAATGGCTGTTAATAAGGCAAAAAGGGATAACCAGACATTATATGCCTCCTGATAGTACCACCTTCATAGCACCACCTATGGAAACTCAAATCTGAACCTTGTCAGGCCTCTAGACCTAGCAATCTAGTGGAAATACAGAGGACAGAGAACATGCCAAAGAATACCATAAGAACACAATCACTGCAAGTTATGGACATCATTTGGATCCTGATTGGAATAAACTACAGAAAAAACTGCTGAGAATTGAGGAATTATTATTAAATGTTTTAGGCATGATAATAGCATTGTGATTATGGGTTTGTTTTTTTTTTTAAATATAGAGACAGGGTCTCGCTATGTTGCCCAGGCTGGTATTGAACTCCTGGGCTCAAGCAATCCTCCTGCCTGGTCTCTTAAAGTGCTGGGATTACAGATGTGCGCCACTGTGCCTGGCCAGTTTTTTGTTTTGTTTTAAAGAATACCTATCTTTTAGAGAAAGGTACTGAACTGCTTACGGATGGAATGATATCTGAGATTGATTCAAAAATAAATGATGGATGGTAGATATTGCCCATCAGTTGATAATTATTTAGATAGCATGATGGGTACAGGAGGGATCATTATACTATTTTATGTAATTTTATATACATTTGAAATTTTCTGGCTGGGTGCAGTGGCTCATGCCGGTAATCCCAGCACTTCGGAACTCCAAGGGGGGAGGATCCCTTGAGGTCAGTAGTTCCAAACCAGCCTGGTCAACGTGGTGAAACCCCATCTCTACTAAAGTAAACACAAAAATTAGCCAGGCGTGGTGGTGGGTGCCTGTAATCCCAGCTATTTGGGAGGCTGAGACATGAGAACTGCTTGAACCAGGGAGGCGGAGGTTGCTGTGGGCCAAGATCACACCACTGCACTCCAGTCTGAACAACAGAGTAAGACTGCCTCAAAAGAAAAAAAAGAAATTTTCCATAATAAAACTTAAAAAACTGACGATCTGTGTTTCCTCTTCTTTTCCTTTTTCTTGGCTTTCTTTGCTCTCCTTTTGTTATCTTCATCTGCAAATTAAAGCACAGTAAAATTAAGACAAAAAAATTTTAACTCTAAAACCGTAGTACTTTTGAGTAGGTAACTATTCTATTGCTGTCCCATTTATTATTACAGAGAAATTACCTCACTGAAACATTTATTGCTATTTGTCAGAACTGTAAGAGGTACTATGAATATAGAAATTAAAGTCACTAGGTATTTGGTGATATAGGGTATTATTATACAATAATACCCTACTGTGTGAGACAGTGTTGTAGTTAAGTATAAAAATGTCTCTTTTTAAGGGATGCATACAGAAATATTTGGAAGTTCTGTGTTCCAGAACTGAGGAAGAGAATTGACAGGGAGGGCCAGGAAACTTGGTTGATATCAGAGGAAGGTAAACCTTTGTGTAAT